ACCACCTTAAAAAGTCGCATACAATGTAGTTCCAAGTTACTTTGTTGTTCTTTGAAGAGTACTAGATATTCAGTGCTTTGTATCCCACTGTATAATTCTATTGCTTAGAGGATTTTAACAGGCTGGCTGGTTTTTAGTAGCAAAGCAAAGTGATTTCATTACTAATCATTAGGATTTATTCATAATCCGTCATATTATGTTGACCATCATTGTACCTGTCTTTGCGTTCTACATTCAAGGATGATCTTGATTCTTCAATTTGTTTGTTATAGGAATCTACTGCTGCTCTACAGGAGACRGAACAATACATTTTTAGAAGCATTGTTGTCTTAATACAACCTTTCTGGGGATGTACATGTACGTAGAAGAGACCTGTGACCAACTCTACTTCGACTAGTGACTGACAAGTGACATTATTTGTATACTTACTGGTGACTTTCCTTCATTTGCTCTATCTCTGACTCTAGTTCCAAATTTTCCTTTTTCATTCTTGCACATTCCGCATTTTCCTGAGACAGGTTTTCCTTGGCCCTCATCAACCTAATAAATAAACGYAATGACGATATTTACCAAAGACCAATTTACAAAATACAACTTCAGGACAGTGTGCACACGTGTGGCTTGAGGTACTAAAGTCAAGATGTTCATGTCATGCAGTCAAACAAGGTCCATTTCATCATATTCTTGTCTCATAGTGACATTAAGCACATAAGGCCTTCACCATCCCCCTCCATTTATCTCAGTGTGTCCTTTTGCCGCCATTTTACTTCGCTCCGACTTCACTCTTCCATCCTTCATTGTCTTGTTCATTCAGCAAACTGTCTTTCTCCAAGTACATTACTGTCTTGTCATAGTCTTTGCACTATAACTACAAGGCCAATAATTTGTCCTTACTTTCTTTCATAATCTCTTACGCCTTCAGATTCTTTCTCTCTTTCTTTTGATGCTCTTTCAAGTTCTATCATATGAAGGATATTCAATAATTCAAAACCTGCATTTTAGCTTGAAATACTTTATATCAATTTGTTTATCGCTGCCATCTGAAAAGGATGTTCAGTGAACATGTATTTCTTAATGAGACATAAATGGCATGATCACATATTATCATTAATTATTTACTTAAAAGAAATATAAAATGGCGTGCATCTCTGTGCTCTGATAAAAACACTGAGAGGGAGTTGAAAAACACGAGAAGCAAGCTCAGAAACACAAGCGTAGTCGTGTCGAGTGTTTCTCTTGCTTCCTCAAGTGCTTTTCAACTCCTACCGTGTTTATATCAGAGGGCAGAGACACAAATGGCCATTTTATAGTTCTTTATAAAATTTTTCTGCATTGTTTGGGTGAAAAACAAATTTTGCCAGTCAGCCGTGTCTCTGTCTTCAGCCAATCAGAGTGCAAGTTATATATCAAAAAATTTATATTAAAAATTAGTATAATTTTTCTTGTATGTCTACCTGTTGATTCTTCTTCTCTGTTTTTATTCAGTTCCTCTTCATCTTTCTGTTGTGTTTTAAGTTTCTCTAGAGCCTACAATTCAAAGCTGAATTATTAAAATGACTCCAACAAGCAATGGAAAATCAATATAATAGAAAAACTATKTCATCTATAGAGTAATGAATATCTCTGCATTGCAGTATGATTCTAMAAGACTAGAACAGTTTGTAGCATGTTCAACATATTTTTTTCCAAAGTCCCAAGGATACACCTTTTGCTACAAAAAAATGATAAATTTTTAGGTGTCATAATTTGTGTGAGGATGCTGCAGCCATTTTTGAGATTGATTTATTTACTTCCTTGATAATATTTTAAAATTATTTCTCTGTTACCTCCTCTAATTGTGCTTGTATTTTAGCTTTCTGTTTCTCCAGTCCCTCAGATAATTCTGCATGCTCTTTGACAATCTTCATACTGAAAAATATTGCAGTAGCAATTAAAATAAAATACAAGTCATGTACATGATTGTACTGTATTATACATCAAGTTAGTATAGTATAGTTAATATAGTACAGTCTAATGTGATACCACAAGGTTCAGGTAAGTGTGTGCCTTGAGCATCATAACCGTATCCAAAATATTTTGATTTTATTCTGTGCCAAACTAAACTCATTGACATGACTTGTGTAATRTGTACAGCTGTCAACAAAAAGCCATCGCATCTTGCAAATTTGTTGTGCCACAGATGATAGTATGTAATAAGATAGCATTTTTTTTTCTAGCAAGAAAACTGTGTAACTATGGCAACATGAAGAAGCACAAGCCATCACCCAATTAATAAACAAGTCAGTAAGTTATCAYAAAACAAAAAGACTTACCCATCCTGGGTTAACTGGGAATTGTCACGAATCTCTTTTTGTAGCTGTCTATTAAGCTGAACTTCATGTGCTTCTAGTCTTGATCTTGAAGTCTCCAGTTGTCTGATCATCTGTAAATTATTAAAAATAATATTTTAGTGCTGGTAAAGCATAAACCTCCACTCCTTGACAGTCCACTAACCTTTCTGTGTGAGTCTAAGGCTGACTCACTATCAACCAATTCCTCTTGCAGCTTATCAATCTCCCTGACAATACAGAGGCATCAATGAATCAAAAAAAAATTAAATAAAATATTACAGCTGCTATATTTTTCTAATATACTATAATAGGGTGTGTCATTTTAGTGTTTAATAAATATTGGTACATGTATACTTTCTTATCGTAGCATTAGTAGATCTTTGTTCTTCTACCCTCAGCTGTGTATCGTGCTATAATTATAATAAAAGATGAGCTTTAATTTAATAGTTTAATTCAATAACCTATTCATGACAATCTTACTTTACATAATTAACCATTTTAATACATTTGTATATTTAATAATTAATACATCTATCATTTTCACACACAAGGTACATTGGCTCACATTTCCTACAATCTCCATCACTGTACTTACAGTTGCATTAAAGTATTTATGTAATAATAAATAATATTCATTGTCAAACTTACAACAGAATGCTTGAGTTTTTCTTTTTCACCTGCAGCATCATCTCTTTCATGAACTAGATCTTCCTTCAGCTGAACAATTGAATCTTCAAGATCTATGATCTAAAAAATATGTATCAAAGCATGTTACATGTACAAAATGCGAACTACCAGACCCGGGGGGGGGACTCCCTAATATCAAAGGGCGGGGGTCCTCGGCGGAGATTGTGAAAATGACCCCTAAAAGGGACCTCTATTGTGAGATGATGGGCGTGGCAGTGCTAAAATTTCAACCCTAAAAGGGACCAATCAATACCGATTTTATTTGACGTGTTTTTATACAATCATCGAACACCGTAGGCTCGTATTGAGTTTATGACAACGTTGCCATTTTATGACTGCTTAGGGTTGCCGTATACCCTCAATGGACCACAAAACACACTTGGTAGGAATTCTTGTCATGATCACCCTAAGCGGGACCAAAATACTGATTTCAAACCCTAAAAGGGACGCCGAGGACCCCCGCCCTTTGATATTAGGGAGTCCCCCCCCCCGGGCTACCAGACACTAAATTCTGAATCACTTTCAATGATAATGTATCTAGTACTAACCCTTTTGTATGTCTCTCTCAATCGATCTCTGGTTTCATTCAGTGTTATTTGTTTACTGTGAAAAGAAGGAAGGTAAGTTTGTATATTTAGATAATTAGTTAAAAAAGGTTGAGAGAGTTTTAAAATTAAGTTGTGTACTAAACCTGGCTTTATCAGCCATCTTTTGGTTAAGCAAAGCAATGATCTCATCATGTCCAGTCTGCATGTCATCTCTTACTGGCCTGTAAGAATCAATAAAATATCATTACATAGTACATGATATGAAATAGATTTTTTTAATAATTAATGTTACTTTTATTATTAACTTTTAGTAATTATTTTAAATGCAATGATAATTTGGCGCAGATCGAGTTTTCCTACAATGTACTTACTGAAGGCGTGTATTTTCAGWATCCAAGTCTTGCTGTCTTTTTTCAAGTGATTTTATATTTTGGTTGATTGTATTCAGTTGGTTCTAAATATAGAAAACAAAGGTCATATCAAGAGATTTAGTGAAGTTTTAAAGAGTATAATAAAATATAGCATATTAAAAAAATTAATAAAAGAAAGGTTGCAGAGCACACATTTTTGTAATAACCTCCTTCACGGTTCCCTGCACCATCTTGAAARGTAGCCGTGCCTTTGCATCAAAGCGAGGCAGCCATTGAGCTTGCAATATTAGAAACCTTCTTTCACACCTACAAACAATTATTCACAGGCTGGTGTCTATCATTGAATGCTCAATGACCGTGCTGCCACGTTAAAAGGCACGGCTACCTTTCTAGATGGCACCTAGGAGAACCGTGACAGAGACTATTATATAGRATTCATACTTATGACTTTGTGCCTGCCATTTTTTTCTATTATCCAAAAAGAAAAACCATTAATTTTAAAAAATTACCTTTAATCTTTTTATTTCTGCTTCATTAGACTGTCTTGCAGAGGTGACAGCAGCTTAATAAAAAAATAGAATTCATAAGATTGAAAGAACCAGTTGGTTTTTAAGATTTATCAATCACTTAGAGTTTTTTGTGAAACTCATTTAAATGAATTTATCCAATTACAGAGGAAACCCACTCCATCATACATCACTAAAACTATTCTCCCTAGAAAAAAGAGGGCTGGTTTGCCTTTGACAATCATCAAGAAGATTATGATARCAACCTTGCATTTCTGCTTGAATATCTCCAGGTAAATACTGTAGTTTATATCTCAATACACTTGCTTTGATGGTTTCAGTCTCAAACATCTCATAAAGAGATAAACGCTCTGATTCCTAAACAAAACAAAAAAAAAGAAAAACAAACTGGTAATCAAACCTTAGGAATGTAAAACAGTTAACCAGCATTTAAGCTTAAGTCATTGTGGTGGAAACTAGTGGTAAACTAGTGTGAGCTGCGTCAGTGTTTCTAAAGAAACAGTTGTGTAAAAAGATAAATTTGATACCGTAAAAATGTAGGTAAAAAAACTTACTGATGTTTCAGACCTTAATCCTTCATCTGAGTAAAGACTTAACCCTCTTTTTTACAGTGTTAAATTTACATAATTATCTTAGTTTTTACACAACTAAGTCTTTGTGGCTCAGGCTTATGAGGGGAGGGGAAAGGGAAGGCAGAACCTGCATGTGTATCCTACCCCTGTCCTTCACCCTCAATACTCAACTACAGAAATGTAGAATTATGTACAAGCTTACCATCTCTTTCAAGACTTCAATAATATCTTTAACATGTGACTGTAGATGTGGTTGAYTGTCTTCAAGATTGCTGTTTTTCATGTGCTGATCTGAATACRCATTAAATCGATATGAAATGGAAGTCACGTTACCTTTACCACTCATTTTATCACTCATATTGAAACTAGCGTAAAGAAAGCAAAACAACCTAGTWGTGTTTGTGTTTTTAGCTTACCCATAATCTGGAGGTTTTGYACAGCGCTTGTCACCATTCCAGCCAACTCTGACGACTGAGAGCGTTTAGATAACATCTTTGAATAKATGRATTCTTMCTTTAGTATGAACTTTCGCTTTCTAGAAACGWGCGTTGGAAGAGGATTGAATTTTGGCTTTTAAGCTTCAATCAAAGTTGTGAAAAKCTCCTCTGTCGTCGGCCATCTTGGATGTAAACTCATTGAGTTACCGCGGTAACAACAGAAAAAGAATGGGAACTAGAGTATTAATTTACAGGGGAGGGCTAAAAGATATAAAAAAATACATTATATAATTACTGTATTCCTATGGAAAAAKGGAATTTGATTAATCATCTATCAAGATTTGTTTTACTATCAATAACTTCCATAAACCATTTCTTATAAAAAGTGGACTTTTCAGCTTCAAAATGCTATAAATATGGAATAGTCCTATCCCCTCCCCTTACAGTTTCCCGGAAATAGTTCTACATCAAAGCGAGGCGCGCATTGGTTTTTACGGAAGAAGATCAGGAAAAAGAGAGTTTAAAGCAACTAAAGAGATAATGGCCGATCCAGAGTTTGTCTTGGACGCTGTTATCGGCTTTTTAACCTCTCCAATATGGAACAGCCCAGTTCCAACTTTTATAGAACAGAATTGTCTTGGTAAGGAAACTTATCCACAAACTTTAGGCATGACTATTTGGCGGTCATAGCGTTTGGGTGTGCGAGAAAAATAGCACGAATTTAAAGTGTTACATTTTAAAAATAAGTCTATTTATTTATGTTATTTTTGTATTTTCTTCAGTCTTTGATCCAGAAGCAGAGTATCACGAGTCGTATAAAGAGATCCATGAAAAATACAAACAAATGGTAAGAACTACATGTAAGCTTAAGTTAAGCTTAATTTAAGCTTACATGACACACAGTCTCGTACTTTTAGTTGTTGCTTGATCGCGCGGTCTGTCATTTCCAGATATAAAAAACTTAACTTAAAGCTTGAGGCTACATCATAGTTGAATTTTTTTTTAAAGCTTACAGCGTAATTTTGTAATAATTGTACATTTGTAGTTCATGTGACGCAAAACTGTCATTCACATCGAATAGATTTGTAACTTAAGCTTGTGCTTTTTGTTTAAGACTTTTTACGTTATTTTCCTAATTTCACCTTGGATCGTAGAACTTTTCGTCAAAAATTCTAGAAATTTTTTTCCCTCGCTAATTATCGAATCTATCTTTTATCTGATTTTTGTGGAGAAGGGTAGGTCGATATAACGAAAATATTATGTTATTTCGTAATTCCATCCATTAAAAAAACAACAGTAATCATATAAGCTTGATGTTACAAAATRTGTAATACATATATATATTGTATTTACATGTAATTTTGTAGCTGTCATAAAAACTATGAATATGGCCTTTTTACAGCTGGTTGTGTTTGTTGATTGACAATATTTTGTCTTTCATACAGTAATCTCTCACAAGTAAACACCAAGATGAATGCTAAAGAAAATGGCATTGCAGGCTCTGCTCTTATAATCATTGTTCGTGTCAACAATCATTGAAAATCCAGCCATTTTTAAGTTCACCTTTTTTATAATTCCATTGTTTAATTGTTTTTTTTTATATATATTAAAATGTAATTTGCATTTTTTTTCCTTCTTTTTTTGCCTTCATCGTTTTTAATCCTGGCTCCATTTTTCAATGTTGCATTTATTAAATGCTGCATAACAGTATATCAACTAAGGACTGAGACTTTCTAATAATCTGTTAAAGTTAACAGTGCTTAGAATATTGGTCAGTCTGCAGTGTAGTACGTCAACCAACCAATATTAAGACTTGTGAATGTTTGTGAATTTTTGACACTTTCTTGTATGTCGAGGAAAATGTTAATTCTGGATTGTGCAAGAAGTCYAGCCATTCAGCKCAAGGGATTATCCTTCTTTCACAAATTACTTTTTCATTTGTTCGTTGTATAATGAAAAGAGGTCTCAATGATAATTTCCTGGTCATATTTAATCTCCATTTGACAACAGAAACCATAGTTAACTTCTGTCCATTTGAAGTAATGGCAGAAGTGAGGCAATCCCTCCTTAGATCATTGTACCCAATAATTATTGCTTTTCTAGGTGGAGACATTGCTATCAAGCTTTCTTAAGGATATTGGTATAACTGCTGAACAGTTTACAGCAGCCTGCAAAGAAACAGGTGGAAATGCGCAGTTTAATGAGATAAGAAAGGTAAACATGAAGTTGTTTACTTTAGATTAGTACTAGAAGTCGATTTAGATTGATTGTCAGAGATATTTTTTGAATCAATCAAGGTGCAATTATACAGTATAAGTACTCTCTTAATGAGCCTAAAACTACAACTTAGCTCATTATAATACTGGATGTTGTTGCAGTACCTTTGAGACACATTTTCATATAAATAACAAATGTACAATGTAGCTTCATGTATTTGTTTTGTCTTGTTCTTATTATTTTCTTTTATTTGATATAATTATGTGTAGAGGACTTCTAGAGGACTTGCTTTGAGCATTGCAAGAAAAAAATATCAAAATTCATTATTCATTAGAAAATGATTGTGTATTCAAATGAGATTAAGTATCTTGGTAAATATTATAATAAATTATGTAGAAAGATTTGTTATATTCTTCCAAAGTAATGAAGTTTTTTCACTATACTKCTGTCCTCCTGTATGGCTGCCATCATTGTCTTTATTAATCAGTATATTCTATTGTAATAACAGAATGTCCTTGAACAAGTGTGGGCAGCAGAAGACTTTGAAGTTTTCAAGAGATTAATGATCCAAAAGAACATTGAATTGCAGCTGCAAGCCTTGCAACTCATTCAGCAACGAGGTCACCARCAGGTGYTGAAACCCTCACAAACTCMACCACCTTCAAAATCAGAAGYTAAYGATGAAGATGAAATCATGAAAGAAGTTTTGCGCATTTCCAAGGACGAGTATGAAAAAAAGACGAAGGCAGAGAAAAAGGAAGAGGAAGTTCTTCAAAAGACATTATCTGAATCATTTGAGGAGCATGAAAGGTGAAGTGTTATCTTAGTTTATTGTACGTTKTTCAGTACAAAAATGGGTAGGACCAATGGTTGCCTACCTTATGTTTGGGTATTTTTTTATTATATTTACTGTCTGTTTGAAGACATGCCTCTGGGGGAGGGGAGGGGAGGGATGTCTGATGCGGCTATACAAAGTAAAATCATGAGAAATTTCATACCAATGTGCCAAAGCACTTTGTTTAGAACATCCAACCATGTAATTTTGAGAAATACAAATGCCAAATTAAGCTGTGATCATTAAAGGTTAAYTGCAACGCCTATGCAATGGTTATTGAGTGCCATTATTCATGGACTGCAAATTTCCTTGTCATACAAGATCTGGCCCATTCTGATCTTACCTTCATGTAATTTCTTGTCTAGCTATTTCACTTGGATTTTCCTATAGAGAAGATAGTAGAACTGGCATTAAACACAGGACAAAAAAAAATTAAGAACTGCTCACAGATCATTAAAGTTATGGCGTCTGTAATTATCATACAGTGTAGATCTTTATACAGTCACTGTAATTATTGATGGTACATGAAGCTGATTTATGATAAAGACTKGGGTTTAATCCAGCTACAAAAAGAGTGGCTCTTCATATACTCCTCATAAACTGTACTTTTACTAATGTTAAGTAATGTTTACTTTATAACACCGCCATATTACTAACAGACATGTGTACARTATGCACACTTAATGCATATATCAAATCTCTTCTTGTTGTGAAAATCTAACTCATATAATTCTGTTTCTAATGCAGACCTACTAACAAGCCTAAAAGGAAACCTTATGATCTAGAAGCTAGGTTGTTAAYTGTAACTCTACTTACTATATTGCTTATTTAATCAACTGACATTATTAATTGCTCCACATTGTTTTGGTGAACTTACAGTCTATCGTGGTATTTATTGGTTTTTGTAGTGGTTTTTCAATGCGTTATTGTCTTTAGTTGTCTTGTAATTCTTGCTTCCATATATTTGTGGATTTCTATATTATTGTCATTGTTTGGTGTCATCATAACAATTTTATAACAATTACTGTAGTCAAAGTGACAAATCCAGCTGATGGGCACAGCAGGGTGCAGACCATTTGCTTGAGACCAATTCATGGTCTTTTTATTTTATGTATCTATGGTGACAACTTTTGTGGAGTGCGTCCCTCCTAGGGGGACCTGCTCCCTTCCCTGGAGATACAGTAATCCTGGATCCATCTTTCAGTTGGTACATGTATCTCAATTGCTGCTGTTGCTTCACCCTCAGTGGTTCTTTTTTGAATTCACCAAAGAACTGCAAGGAGATATACTAATATACTGTATGATTTTGTAACCCTTCTTTGTGCTCCCAGTGTAGATGAGGAGTAATTTCAGCTTGACTACTCGTTGTCTTGAATATTAGTGTGACCTCCCTTGCTAAGTTTACAAGATAGAAGATGATTTTTTCGTAAACAATCTCATTCTTTTTCGTTATTCCAATCCCTTGCCTTTCTAATTATTCTTTCTTTCCTTTGTCTCTAATAGCCAAAGTGTTACTAAGGCTCTTGAGGAGGCAGAGAATGCCTTTGAATACAGGTGCTTGCATGGAAATAATCGTAACATTTTAGAATTATAGTGTGAATAATTTCCATCAAAGCACGAGTTGATAAACTACGTGCCTTCAAATGCTGTGGTTCTATGAATACTTTTAACTGCTTCTATATCGCATTTCCTCTTGTTACTTCTAATAACGACTAACAAAAATGGACTGACACTTAAATACTCTTTGCGTGCTATAATTGCTAGCTAATTTGCCTTGAACCACAATTCGCATTTTCCAAGTAAAAAAGCTGCRAGAAATTGCGAACAATGATATACTCTCTAAACATCACAACTTTCCTCCCAAAAAATTATTGGGGTGAAAAAAAGGAAAAACATAAAAACAWTATTCAGGGTTCGTGCTACCCTTGGAAATGCTTGAAAATCCCTGAAAMCTCCTCATGAACTGAATACCATTGTCTGATTATCATATTTTAGATTAAAGATGTTGGCACAACGCGAAAAAGGCGAGCTCGAAAAAGCATTAAAGACATGTACGATATCTGAACCAGTAGAAGACAAGACCAAAGAATCAACAGCTCCTTCATCAACCTCTGTTTCATCTTCGTCTGCAGCAACAAAAACTACCAAGCCAAAAGAAGAGCCAAAACCACAAAAAACTCCTCAAGTTACAAAGCCACAAGAAAAGGCAAAGCCACAGGAAAAGGTACAAGAAAAAGCAAAACCGCCAGAAAAGAGCCAAGGTTTACCTCCAATACCTGTAGCAGACAAGGCTAAGACACCAGCTGATGCTGCCGCCAGCTGGATGAGTAGCGCAAAGGCTGAAGCCGCTTCAGCTTCTTCAAGTGGCTCTATTCATCAGGTAGGTTTGCGGGTTTCCGTTTTTAACTTTTCTCGCGTCATGATAGACTTTTTCATGCTCGTTAGCTTCGCCTTTTTTTCTAATGTTTGGCGTTAGCGAAAATAAGAASAACTTGTAGCAAGTCTTGCATATAAAGGTTTTTAAAGGTTTACAGTCTAAGAAACGTTGAATATTGAGTACTGCATAGTGCAATCCAAGACCGAAATGCATTGTTACTATTAAATTTCCGTGCCGGTAGTTTGCTTTCCATTGAAGTTCTTGATGTACAAAGCTCGTGTATAGTTTTGCAATCTCAACAACCTCTTTTGGACGATGATGGACTAAAAGAATTCAACGTTTTTTGAAAATAGGTGTTTGTTTGCTTTTATTTTGTGTTCTTTTCTTTTTATTGATTTATTTCATCCATTTATTTATTTGTTTGTGTATGGGTTGGTTCGTTCATTTCTCCTTTCCTTTTATCTCTTTTTTTCATTCCTTCAATTAATAATGCATTTTATCATCATTATCTTCATTATCATCATCATCATCATCATCATACCTCTGCATGCCAGAGGACACATAAGGTCTCTTATATGTGTGCAACACTTTCCACTATTTACTACAAAATAGTGTTAATTATAAACAATAGAAAACAATAGAATTAGCATAATTTAGCAGTATTTAGTGGTATTTCTGTTGTACAGTTTTAGTGTTTGTACTCTAAAATGCCACTGCTTTTTAAGTTCGTTGCAAAACCTAATACGATTGATTTATTGACTGATTCATTGATGTGAACATTGATTATAATTATCATTGATTAAATGATTGACTTGTCTTATTATTACACTTTATAAAGGGAACAACAATGTCTGAAGAAGAGTTAAAACGACGAACTGAATATCTTAAAGAGCAGCGTGATAAATTACTCCAACTAAAGAAGCAACAGAGAGAGAAGAACCTAGTTAAATATACCGAGGATCAGCCAAAATCTCGACCGATGTCAGCAAGGGCGGCAAGAACGGTTACATCAGGCGAACCCTCCACATCGCCACCCACAGCACCCAGCCCAACAGACGATAAAAAACTTGCCATGAGAAAAGCACTCGCCGATGTTTTAAAGCGAGAAGTTATTGAAAAGCACTGAGACAAGTAGTGCAAAACTTTCTTCAATCAATTGATTAATGAACTGAATGGTACTTTCAAATTATGGTAGCGTATTATAATATGAATGAATTTTTTGCAGATATTTAAATATGCTCGGTATACTTAAAATTCGACGCGAATCTCATATGCTGAACATGATGTAAATGATAATGTATGAGATACAAACGGCGTTCAAAGCAGGTCTAAGGTCTACACTACGACATATTCAGAAGCGTAATTAGCAGAACKAAAGAAAACATAAAGCATAAAGCCGAGCGTGCTACATACATGTAATAAGTCGTGGACATATGCGTATAGTAATTAGCAAAGATAGAACGAAGAAAGACACCTTTTGTCTTCTTCAACACTTTTTATCGCYAAATCTATTGTTTGTTCTTACGTTTATGCTTATTAAGTCGTAGTGTGAACAGGCCCTAAGATGCAACGGCGGAGTGAGTGACAGGGGAACAGACCACTGAGGGGTTCAGAGCTCGAATTTGACTTACWCTGCAGTAATGTAATAAAGAAATGAAGGGAATACTCTGTGTGCTTCCATTCGTCGTTCGGTCAGTCGTTCCGTCCATTTATCTAAGGTCCCGAMTAACTTTTTTTTAAGTCTTATGTAATGCCACTTGTTGTTCAATACTGCGAAAAAAGGAAATGATAACAATGCCGGATCGAAATTGTCTCTGATTATTTTTGATATTTACCAACCAATAGCAGATTCCCTCGATTACTATAGTTYGGTTTGCCAGTGTTTTTCAGCAATTTTCCCCCTTTTTAACCCATAGGGGGTGGGGGGTGGAGGGGTCGGAAAGGATGTTTACAGACTATTTTTCAGCCGCTGAGGAAATGTTGTCTATCAATATTGTCTTTCCAGAGTTACTTGCGGTAGTGMATTCGGCACTTTTCGTGAAATAAGTAACTSAAAAAAMGTCCGGTTAAAAAGGTGAAATCGTAAAAGCTAAGACCGAMAAGGATTCTGGATACTCGGAATGTGACTTATATTTACCTAGACATATACATTATCAATTCATATCTCATACAAGGCGATGATTGTTAAGTTCAGACAGAAATATTGATATCATACTCCTTTGCTGAAAGTTGTACTAATTATGTGCCTTCCCATGCTCCCCTTCGGTCAGTTAGCTATGATGATGTAACCTCAGATATAGTAGTAATAATCCGACAGAAGTACGACAACGTTTTTCTCAGTTAGGCGTATATTGACTAAGGCAAGGTTCGTACGCCCGTGGCCCGTGTTATGTAAAGTAATGAAGTAAAGAGCTCGAACACTACACTTATTGTGGCCGCTTAATACTGGTACTGCATGCTAATATGCACTGAAATCGATTTTCTTATCAATTTAACTTTGTTTTCTATACTTTGTTTTCTATAACTAGATAAAACTAAATCTGATTTGGTATGACTGTCAAAAAGGTTTTTGGGAGTTCCTCTGTTACACCTTGCACAGTGTAATAACCGCCGAAGAAYATATATGGGTAACTCGTGGATTGAGTAATTGCTACAATAGTTGCGTTGACCCGTATAGTTAGTATCGCGACGGAAAATCTGTTATGTAATCTCGAGGTGGACGTTGAACTGTGTGAGTATCGAAGCCCCTCAGTATGCGTGTTCGCCACGTGACGTTGGAGCTATGCGTTTTTCGCAGTTATACCAAATCAGCACTTAGCATAAGTGACTGCCGTAGCCTGCAACGCAGTAAGCAATATTTCCAGGCTTGATATTTCTGCACATAGTATGATATAAATTCTATCACATATAGTTAACATAGAAATATTTATCAGTCATGTACAATTTCATGAATTAAATTAAAAGCACGGTAGATTAAATTAGAATTCAAAATCATTTTACGTGTTGTTTCCTTGTATCCAATCTGACAAAGTACTCTGTTATGCGGAATTGTGTCGTCAAAAATCGTGAAATAATTGTTTGTACTACTCATAGTAGTAGAACTTTATTTTATACGAAAAGGATTACGAGAAGATTTATCATTTTACTACGTGAATATTTCGGCCTTTATCCAAAGGCCATCGACTTCATACTGAACTTACATGAATAATTATTAGTTCAAAAGACTTAAGGGAATTGACTACTATTTTAGCGTCAAAACTTAAAACATAAAGGAGAATCGCCGAAGCGCTTTATATAAAAGAACAAAAACCATCCTTGAATGAACAGGGACGGTGAATTCCCTTAAGTCTTTTGAACTAATAATTATTCATGTAAGTTCAGTATGCAGTCGATGGCCTTTGGATAAAGGCCGAAATATACACGTAGTAAAATGATAAATCTTCTCGTAATCCTTTTCGTATTCAAACTATATGCCCAAAAGAATATATTAACTTTATTTTACCTTCGAGTTTCCTTTGTTTTGTTTGAAGTGACACTCGATCGCTGGTGTCATTAAACCCGTGAAAACAAAATTTGAGTATGAAAGTCAGTATATTTAACAATTAGACCTCGAGGCCGAGTGGACTACGAGCTAATAGCCCATGAGGCCGAGTCCGCGAGGCCGAATGGGCTATTAGCTCGTAGTCCACGAGGCCGAGAGKTCTAATTGTTTTAGTATAAACATACTAATCGGTCAAATAATGAAAACAAATTGAAATATTCTTAAAATATTTATAATTTATTTATTTTGATTTTCCCGCGAGTCGTCTATCACAAATTAGACCATTAGTAGAGTAGCCAATCACAGCGCAGTATGAGTGATAGACCATTAGTAGAGTAGCCAATCACAGCGCAGTATGAGTGATAGACCATTAGTATGTTTATACTAAAGTCAAATAGACGAAAAGGACAATTAGGGCGTACTAAGGTGTATTTGTTTTGTTTTGTTTTGTTTTGTTTTGTTTTGTTTTTTTTTTTACTTGAACATTTTAGTTATTGTTTCACGGGATAACTCCTTTAGTCAAGCTCTAAGAGTATTCGGGATCAAACTTGGACTATACAATTACACAGTTTTGTTCACCCACAAAAAGATCGACATTTCCAATAATCCAGTTGTCACGTGTCGTGATATTACTATCGACTGTTAACCTGCTTTCTAAGATGTCTAGGGAAAATAAATTGAGATATTTTTTTTACAGATTTGTTGGTATTTTGGTATTCTTTTTTCTGGTCCCTTCTTTTTTCTGTTGTCTTAAATGGGGTCAATGCCCACCCCCGTTTGAAAAAGCTTTCGGCTTCTTTAAAGGTTTCTTTCCAGGCTTTGATCACGTTTTACACCCTGAGTCCTCCTCCAACCCTCCCCTACCCTCCCCGGGAGCGGTTAAAGTTCATTCATTTCAAAAACCTTCACGCGATCAATGAAATTAAAAATCACTGGGGATATTTCACTTTTTTTCAGTGAATTATTAGCTTTTATTCATTAGTTTGCTGATTTATCCATTTATTTGCATAAATTGTAGTTTTCCCACCCATTTATCATTGATCTGTTTATCTAAATATTTATTCATCTTGCTTTGGACACGTTGATCATTCATGTATTAAGTTTTTTTCATTTTTTCATTGATTTTTATTTTTTTCCAATTCGACACGTGAAGTTTATAATCATTTTACCTATATGACATATTTATTTATCAATTCGCAATCTCAGTTGTCCATTGACATTCATTTATTTGTATTTCTAGTAATTATTGTCGGAATTATTCTAATAATCCAAAATTATTCTGCGCGGGAATCTTGAAAATGGCGCTGTTAGTCTTTTGACGCAAAGCCCTGCAGTATTGAGTGGGCGCCCCCTAATGTTTTGAATAACACTGTACAGAAGGCAGCGTAATTCAACATGGCGGACTATTTCAAAATGTAGTGTGATTTTGATGACTTTGTCTAATGCTCAACAAGGCGAAAACGTGGCTCTACCTTTCTGATATCCTTTCTTAAGAGCATGGCGAGTACTAGACGCCGTGTCAAAGTCTATACCCTAAACGAAGACCGACAATGGGATGACCGAGGGACGGGGCACGTGTCGTCGTCGTATGTTGAGCGTTTGCAAGGAATGTCTATCATGGTTCGATCCGAAGAAGACGGTCAGTAATGTCGATTTATTTATTCAAACGCGTCTGGGATGATTTAGGAATCATATTTCATCGAATAGTGCTTATTATGTATTATTTAATGGCCAAATTTGGGTTATTTTAGGTTCAATACTGCTCGAGTCAAAGATCCAACCACATACTGCCTATCAGAAACAACAGGTAGAGTAATGTCATTTTACTTCGCTTTAGAAATTATCATGCATCGTCTTAAAGACTTATATTTACTCTTTATATTTGAAGGAAACACTTATAGTTTGGTCAGAGGGAGAGAACTGTGATCTTGCTCTAAGTTTTCAAGAAAAGGCCGGATGCGATGAGATTTGGGCGAAGATTTGCCAGGTACAGCTCTTGAGATTTGTACTAACTTKCTTACGATGTACACTAAAAAATAAACAAACATAAACTTTGAAAGAGTAAGACCTTATTTAGCTTTTGACATTCCCTGCTTTTGAACTTTTCATCGTATATTTATTCAAATCTTACGAAGTTTGTAGTCATGTTTTTACGACAGAACCAAGAGTGTCAATGTTACACAACAAATGGCATTTCAGCTTACTTTTTATTTCATTTTAATACTCTCTATATATACACAGGTCCAGGGAAAAGATCCCTCTGTCAGTGTCACTCAAGATCTACCCGAGGATGAAGATTCCGAAGAAAGATTTGAAGAAGTTATGGACACTTCGGGTCCCGTTGAACTTCCTCCTTGCGAAATGAATAAACTCGAAGAAATTTGCGAATTTCTAAGTGGCGTACCTCCACCGCCACTCAAAGAAAAAATTGCATTAGCAATAGAGCAAGAGAATTATATAAAAAAACTTATCGATATCTTCCATATGTGTGAGGATCTGGAAAACATTGAGGGTCTACACTTCTTATATGACATATTCAAGTCGTTGTTTTTTATGAACAAACCGTCTCTACTAGAAACTTTATTGTCAGATGAACTGTTATTTGATGTTATTGGATGTCTGGAGTACGATCGAAACAGCCCAGAGCCGAGAAGACACAGGCATTTTCTACGAGAAGTAGCTCACTTCACCGAGATAATCCCCATGACAAATCCTGACTTGATCGCCAAAATTCAGCAAACTTACAGGGTGTCTTACATCTACGATGTTATTTTGCCTCCACCGACTGTATTTGAAGAAAACATGCTTGGTTCCCTTGCTTCGTTTGTGTTTTTCAACAAGATTGAGATAGTAACTCACATTCAGGTTTGTCCAGAACTCTATTGTACTGTATTAACTTACTTAAAATAATATTGGTCAATATTTTTACTTTTATGATAATCTATAAATAGCTAGTGATATTTTGATCAAAATATCAATGATTCAGTGAGATGTTAGATGTTTTTTTGTTGCCTTCTCTGTTGATGATGATAAGGTGATTGTAGTCACTGAGGCAGGTGTTTGTTATATTGCAGTTGTTTGTGTTGCTATTGGTGTTTACACTATTCTTTATTTTATCCTGATTTTTTTTGCCCTTATTTACTGTAACTCTAAACATTATTAGCTAATACATTCAATTTACTAGTATTTAATGTTTTAGTAAGTATAGCTTTAATTTCAATAACAAACTAGTTTAAGATATGGTAACATTAATATATACATGCTGTATTATATGCATATTTAAGAAATTGTAACCAAGATGTTGTTGAAAATCCAATGTTTTGCGTAAACCAAGCTTCTCAGAAATTCAGATTCTCAGAAATAAACATTTAATACAATACACAACATTATTCCTGAACTCACTTTCTATTTTGTAATCATAATCCTATCTTGCATTTTATGTATATTACACAAACTATTATGATATAGAGTAGATACGTAAGCAATTACTATATATAGAGAGAGATTGTTGAAGTCTCGCTAACATAAAATCACGAGAGATCATTACAGAATTGAAGTTGTTATTATATTATATATTCTTATATAACGTTGCTCAATTATAAAAACAAAGATATAATCACGTCATTCATTTTCTGCAGGATTATTCAGCTTTAAGCTGTAAACAAAGTTAATATCTTTTAATTTGCCGTTTATGTGGACTTTGAAAAGTTGGAATGCTTCCAGGAAATATTTAAAAACTTTTTTTAAAAGACTTTGTTGTTGTCTTTATGTCTTTACCATTTAACAGCTTTAAATGGACTGACTGTTTATATCTTGACAACTGAACAACTTTACAAAAACTCAACAACTAACTTTTTGTAAGTGGATCAACTGTATGCCTGTTTTAAGTCTGTTTTAATAGAGTCAAGGTTTTTTTCTTTTTTTAAGTCGAGTTTGAGGGGAAAAGTATTGTACAGTGTACATTGGTYAGCAGTTTCTGCAGTAGATCTAATAATGATTACGATTTAAGAAATTCTGTATTTGATACTCTGATCAAAACACGCGGTATGTAGGGAGAACGAGAGAAGCGTAGGAAACCACAATGCGTAGCGGAGTGGTTTCCAGCTTTTGGAGTGCTCTCCCTACATCCCAAGTGTTTTGATCAGAGTATCAAACACGGAATTTCGTCTTTTATTTCTTTTCTAAAATTAAAAGAATAAAAGAAATTTTTGACGTGCGCGAGCGTGTTTTGATACTGTAATCAAACATGGTTTTCGACCAATCACAGCGCGCGTAGTATCCTAAATATTTTAGAAACTGTAATCAAACATGGTTTTCGACCAATCACAGCGCGCGTAGTATCCTAAACATTTTAGAAATGTTTATAAGGCATTTACATTATGAGCAAATACATGTAGTGCAGATTTTTTATGAATGTGAAGAGGTACAAATCTTGACTGGGCACAACATGGTATAGACACTGAATCTCACCTGGAAGTGACTGCCAAATGAAAATACTGATTCAAGAATATATCATCAACCCAGCAGGGTAGTGTCAAAGCATGGGACCGGGTGTCATTTGAAGCTGTAGTACACGCATAATTTATTGATTACAAAATAAGCCAACATGACATATGAACTGACAAGAGTTTGTTGTACTCGAATAACAGGGCTTGAAATAATGGACAGACAAATGCAGGACAAGATGTCAAGTTTTGAAAAAAACTTCATTATACTATTATTTTCTTTTAATTTATAGGTTTTATTTTCAGAAAAATCAGCAAGCATTTCATTTTAATGGCTTGTAAAAGATTTATTTAGYGAATTGAGAATTGATTTGTCTAAAAATGTGGCAGGTAAATTTGTCCTTTCAAAACCCGATCTGGTCATCTMCCAAATTTTCCTTTGACCGGCCGTTCTTTCGAGCCCTGCAATAACCACAACAATTATATATACTTTATAGTATTATATTAATAGTGCATTCATGTTCATCATCATGTATATATCCTAATGACATTTTTTAAATTTAATTATTTAGCAATCTATAATATATAAAGTTAGACTGTTTCCATAAGTCGTAGTTTCCGTTCGTTGGTTTGAATTCTCACTTCAACGAGCAGGAAAAAAAAGCGACCAGACAGACTGGTGGAATCAGTCTAATATAAAGTTTATAAATAAGCATGTAAATCGTATTTTAACTGAATTTCTTTACAGGAAGATGAAAGGTTTTTGGCAGATCTTTTCCTTCAGTTAACAGACGAAAATACAGCAGAAGATAGACGGAAAGATCTGGTAAGTGCTAAGCAATAACTTATCCTGACATTATATTGTTATGACTRTGAGTTCAACTCTCATTTCTTATTAAGAAATGATAGCTGTTARCCATGGTGTATGCATTAGAAATTAAGCATTTATAGTCATTTGTTAGTCATGTTGTTTGTAACAGACATCTGTTTTTGTCAGGTGTCATTTTTGAAAGAGCTGGTTAGCTTCTCCACACAGCTGCAAGTTCACCAGAAAGATGAGTTTTTCAAGGTAGGAATAAAAAAAACTGTGTGCTTTAAATGTCTAACATTATTTCATATTATGAAATTCAATAAACCTACAATCTTGGACAAAAGAAGTTTACTTTGATGGATTGACTGATTGGTGGGTTGATTGATTGATTAGATTTGTTGATTGATTAAATTAGCTTATGGATGATTGATGGATGATTTGATAGATTGATTAATTGAGTTATTGCTTGATTGACAAACTAATAGATGTATGATCAATTGATTGATTGATTGTCTAAATATACATGTATTGTATGTAGAATATTATCTCAGCCTCACATACTGTAATATTGCATGATGTCATATGTTATTTTTAGTGCTTATCTCATCATGGTCTTCTCCCAGTACTGGAAATGCTTATGGTATGTACATGTGGATTGATTACTAAACCATGACCTGTTACTTAACATACACCTAAGATTCCAATCCAAGTTATTGGAAATCCTCGAATAGTGTGTGAAAAGATCTTGACTTTTTTGAAGAATACCTGTATATCAAATCCAATCCCCTATGTTTATCCTAACTAAGTTGTTGAAATGAGCTATTAAAGTACAATTGCGTTTTTAGTTGGGCTAGCCATAGGCTGTACCACTTCGTCAATCTATGTATCTATCTATTATCCACTGTTTGGGAATTACACAGGAAGCCCAAGAAATTACCTTCAATTCTTTATATTAATTGTCAAATTTTATTCTAGAATAAAGAGAATGAGAGCACAAAGCTCACAGCTGTGGACATCATAAGTCAGTTGGTTGATATCAGTCCCTATGTCGTTAGAGATTTTATCATGAAAGAAAGCAATTCCCCACCAGAGGTACTGTATTTTTATTATTTTTATTTTTGAACATAAGCAAAGCTAATAAGGGATGCTCTGTGTACMTTAAATGCAATATCTCATAATTGGATGCAATGAGTGCAATCTATTGTCCATGGTAGTAATGCTGCTTTGTTTATTATTCAAGGATATGTTAATGAACCAGATCATAGACTACATGATATGTGATGGCGATACAGGTACTGTAAGCACCCCCCTGATTTTGATATCAMTGCTATAAAACTGATGTTGACTAGTTCAGTAAAATGTTAGCTGTCCTTATTTATGATTTCTTACATTGCTGGATACAAAAATATTGCAGACGTGCACATAAAAACAAGATTTTTGTTTTGGAAACTATAAGGTAGGGTACTGGCTAAAAGAACCTCACATTTGTCTATCATGTTTTTGACAATGAATATGCCCATTCACAATGCAACCCCACTCCTTTGTTATGGAAAACTGATAGGCCATAGCAGCTACAAAGCTGTTTATGAACATTAAGGCTTTTGTGTTCTTGTATTCATATGTAYCAAGTACTCACATATTTTGCTTTGTTTCAGGGAATGCCTACCAACTTGCACAGTTGATAAGGACTCTACTAGACCCTGAAAATATGGCCCTGGGACCAAACGTAAGGATGCCAACAGGCCACCCTTGTCTACTCACTTATTCGTATTATCACCTTGTTTGTCATTGAGCAATCGAAATACTTGAATGTAATTAACTATGAATACGTGAATTATTCTTGAAAGTTATCTTAGGGKTTTTTTTCTGATACATGTAGAAAATGGAGAAGACAGAGTTCCTAAGCTTCTTCTATAAACACTCCATGCATGTGTTGACAGCACCTCTGTTTGCAGCAACATCAGACTTAAAGTATCACAAAGGTTTGTTTTGCTAATTGTTTTTGATATTACAGCATCATTTATTGGGTTATTACAAGTGGACCTCTACAGCAAGGGGCAACTTTTTTTAGCTTTATTTTTTTTTATTTGGAAAACTAGTGTCGTTAACTAATCACATTGACATTTTTCACTCTGGATTGTTTGATGAAATTGAAATATGAAATTCATATATTGTATTAAATGGATATGATCTTGGGAACATTGCTACAATCTTATTGGATAATGGTATAGTGRCACTGCACAATACTATMATCTTCATGTATTCAGATGTTGTTATTATTCTTACAGATGACTATGTTAGTTCAGTGACATTGAGTCACATTCTTGAGCTGTTGACATTCTGCATAGAGCACCACACTTACCATATCAAGAACTATGTGATCAGTAAAGACCTCCTCAGGCGAGCTCTGGTTACCATGAGATCAAAACACAAGTTCTTGGTGCTTAGTAAGTATAGTTATTATATGTATTAGGACTCCATGTTGTCCAATTAAGAAATAATTGAAATGGTGGAAACCAGCGGTAAACTAGTGTGAGCTGCGTTGTTGTTTCTAAAGAAACAGTTGTGTATAAAAAGATAACTTTACACAACTGAGAAATAATTGGACAAGGAAAATTCCAAGGACTACCAAAATTGGAAGAAACCTTAACCATAGTAAAAACGAATAAAACTCTCATTTTTCTTCTGCCTGATTAAAACTTGACTTTTCGATGTCCCTACTGTGGTCGGATAAACGAGGTTCCATTGTACAGTGTTGTACTCGAGTCTCTTTCTAAATTTCGTGTTAATTACTTTTTCAGATGCACTTCGCTTTTGTCGAAAAATAGTGGGTCTAAAGGATGAGTTTTACAACCGTTACATTATAAAAGGAAAGCTATTTGAGTCAATTATCACAGCATTCAAAGACAATGGTATCAGATATAACCTTTTGAACTCAGCAATAGTAGAGCTGTTTGAATTCATCAGAGTGGTAAGTGCAGTGTGTTATTTGGTGAAACATGCTTCCCCCTGATTTCATATCGTACAAGCTAAGACCAGGGTTCGCTATAAGCCTAATACCAGAGTATTTTGATTTATTAATTGGTGATCATTATTATGGTATATTTTTTCAAATAGGAGGACATAAAGTCCCTATGTACTCATGTTTGTGAAGAGTACTACAAGTTCTTCGAAGACGTCAACTACGTGAGCACTTTTAAGGGACTTCTTTTACGCATGGAACAGGAGAAAGACAGAAAACAGAACAATAAGATTGTAGAAAGGTACGATGAGATGACCAGTACATTTTACCCTATTTCAAGTTGGCATATTCCAATTTCTTCTTGTCTTCCTTTTCTGGGAAATGCTGCAGTCTGTCATATTAACTATGAGACTTTATAACATGCATTTTTACTGGTCAAGTGAGAAGTAGACATGGCATCATTAGTACTTGTAAAACAACTATGTTGTCTTTGTCCGTTAGGGGTGGTAACCATGGCATCATTCATGTAAACAGCCGGTTTAGAAGAGACGCCCGTTCAATGGAGGAAGACGAAGAAACTTGGTTTGACCAAGGTGACGAAGAGAATGGCGATGACGCTATCTTACCTAAAGAAGATTTCCTTGAGAACGATGATCGGGAATTCAAAACAAGAAAATCATTTATCGCAGCAACAAAACCTAATAAATTATCCAGTGACCAGCCTGTTGTCAATAATAAAACTGTAAGTACAAAGTCACAGGGTATTTGAGAGGATATTGATGTAGGACTTGATAGTGATCAGCGCGCTGTCGAATGAAAATTGGCTTGTGCTTTTAACCGGCCAGCCGCCAGAAAAGGTTTAATTTTGATGAATAAATGTGTTAAGGTGAATTTGCACGATGTGACTGTTGTGTACGACTTAAAAGAGCTCCAAGTCTTGCCGCGTGACTTCCCCTACGACTAGCCTTAGACTGACGCACACGATTTACAAATAGAGTACTGTATCGAACCAAGGATCAAGAGCCTACAACTAGTTGCATACTACAATTGTAGATCGTGTCGGCTACGATGAGGTATGATTAACATCATCATCTTTTTTTTTGTCTTTTCAGCCATTAATGGGTCTTGTAGACTATCCTGATGATGATGAAGATGATGATGATGATGAAACGACATCCCCAGCCAAACGAATGCGCCTTAATTCTTCTTAGTACAAGCTAAAGATAAACCAACAAGCATAATTAGAAGTGGAATTTGGTCTTTTCGCTACAAGTCGATTCGGACAACCTTGATGATTGATTCGATCCTCCGTGATGATGCGAGTTGATGGTCCACTCGACTCGACTCACATTGATGGCCGATCCGATACAACGTGGTCAATTCGACAAACTCCGATGCTCGATTCGATCTATATATGTGGTCGATTTGATCCAGATTGATGATCGATCTGATACACGTTGATGGGCGATCCGATCCACATAATGGTGGTTTCAATCCACATTAAGTGGTCGATTCGATTTGGGCCGCTGTTCGATTCGATCCAGATATATGTTCGATTCGATCCATGTAGGTGTATCATATTGGCCATCGATTTGGAGCTAAACGACCAGCCAAAGAATGACCGTCCACCAATAAAGTGTGTGGCTACGAACATTCGCATATAATTATATATATATATTGATAAGATATTGTAAATGAGTATTGTTTTTAACCAACCCGGCCAAGTCAAACTTCAGTGTGCTACGGGTTTTTAATGCTTTATTTTTTTTTTCTCCCCGACGTCTCTCTTCATTCATTCGTAAATCATGCTGTATCACAATGCATTCATTCATGTCATCGAGGACATAAGTCGTGATTTTAATGATTCCTTACTGCACTGTCTGATGATTTCAACATTTTTTATTTATATGATGTTCTGACATTTTATTGCTATTCTCAAACTCTGTGAATAAAGATTTGTTACTGTAAACTAATTGAAATTGTCGTGTGAAGCGTTATGGGGATTTCCACAAAGAACATGTCCACAAGTAGACGTGTCACAAAGGGTCGCTTAAAAGGCCTAGTGTCACCCTTGATGCATTGCGCGCCTCGTTATAATCTAATGTTCAGCAATGTTATTTTGACGGCTTTTTTCATGTAATTGAGGGGTCGATAAAAAAAAATAGCGGTCGATTAAAAAAAAAAATAGCTACAAAATTTGCCGAGTTTTTAATGATGCAAGAAACACGGAGGCAACTCCTATGGTCATATCAGAAAACAATAAGACCGAAAGACCTATAACCTATAAAAATGGCAATAAACTCAAGACGTCGGTGCTCTTATACTTTTTAAAGAAATTTCTGATTGGAAAATAGATCAAATCAGTGGTTAAGGGCATATCCAGTACTCTTTCATCACGAAGGRTTACCGGTCACCTAAGAGAGATGTACCTCATAAAATGGCACATAGGAGAGACAATAAATTAGGGGAGAGTATTAAAAGGTTGCGAGATATCAGGAGGGAATGTGTAGGTTTTCAAAAGTAAGAAAAATAGATCTTTCATTGATAATTTTATGAGAAAAAGTCTTATGCGCCAATTTTCAAAAATCTGGTTAAATTGTTTACTATACCATTACGAGACCCTTCTGATTCTTCTAACGATTCTGCTTCCGATTCACACGTAAAGAGCTAGAAAATTAAAGAGAAACCAACGTTCGTCATATTTATATGGTGCGATATCTATAAATAGGTATTGGAGACGTCTGTAACTGTCAATGATTCTGGTGGGGAGCAATTCAATTTGCAAAACTTGTAACTTTTTTTTAACTTTTAGTTAAAATTGTGTACTGTGCACGCTTTCTTCAGAGTCCATCATAGCATCGGTGTTGATGCTTCCCGAGGGTTTATAGAGGGCGGAACGTTCGTTTAAGGCTTTTGTTTCCAATTCAATATGCGTAAACATGCTCGTCTTCCTCTCGACAGTTGTAATCTGTGGTCCTTCGCCAATATYTTCGATTGCTTCCTCTATTCTTGTTCTCTTCGCGCTGACAGTGAATATCAGGATGCATGTTGCGACTTCGCTGATTCTCCAAGCTGTCTGCAGTCCCCACCAGCTCCAAGCGTTGACAAATTTAACATCAGAATACACTCCAAATACTCCAAACATTGTGTAAAACGTGATAACGACTAGAAAGAAATTGGCGACACCAGAAGCATAGATGAGCCACACATAGATCTTATCTCTCTTGTCTTTATGCGGTTTGTGACCAAACAGTTGTTTAYCCAAGACATAACCAAGTTTTATATATCCCAGCCCAAGCAATGAGCCCCACACTACGTAGAAAGTTTGACAAAACAGAATCATTCCTTTGGCAGAAACATATAAAGAAACAACGAAATCTGTTACCAAGATGAACACAAAATGGAGGGCTATGATCAACGAGATCACCTTTCCCTTCTGAAGGGCAGGGATGGTTATCCGCAAGTGACTTGACTCCAGAATAGCTAATATGATTAGCGAATCAGAAGCTGTTAAACAAGGTCCCCCTATGGACCATATTATGCGCATTAGTTGTAATGCCTTGATAATGCCCCCCTGGTGATAAGGGTCCAGGTACATGACGAAGGCCCTTGTCAGGCAGAAGACAAGAACCATGACGTTTAGACTAAAGCTGAGGTACCTCTTTTCCAAACCATCATAGAGATTAACACCCACGTAATAAGCAGCATAGAAGCCCATTATCAAGTAACTTGTGGCAAACAAGTAAACGTGTATTTCCCAAGCACTTTTCCAAGTCTTGTACGCTTCGCTCCATTTCGGACCAGGTTCAGGCCAAGATTCAGCCTCTGGTTCCGGTTCTGGTTCGACTGTGGAGTTTGGTTGATTACCAGTCGGTTCTGCCTCGTTAGTCGGTTTGTATTCAGCTGCKGCTGGTTGGATTAGAAGAAAAACGTTAAAACAAATATCACCACACCCTATTTCCCGATTTTTACGAGTTTCTAGGACCATTGCAGATTGTGGGAATGCAACTACARCTGAAGGACAAAACAATGCATTCTAGCTCCCAAGAGGGATAAAGGCTTCTGCTTTGTTCTCAAGATGAAACTGATTGGAGGTCAGATCATATGCAAGGGGTCTATTGTTCGGGTATGCTGTATACAGCAGATTGTTTTAGATTCATCCAACTTGCAATGCAACATTTACTGCAAGTTAAGCTTTATGTTGAACTCCATATTTAAAAAGGTAATGATGCGATTCAATGAGCAAAAATCCGCCATCGTTAACAGCTTTCAATTAATCAATACCTCTATGATGTCTTGAATGTTGAGCTGGAACAATTGCTGAAGTCACCAAAGTAAGGCAGCTTATAGTAACAACCACAGTAAAATAAAACTACAATAAAAAATCCCTGAATTAGAAACAGACGCTAATATTGATTTGTAAATAATTCCAACGGATAGAAGCATGTAAGATTTGCTATGCAAAGCGACATGCGACTAAGCTGTTGTTGTTGTCGTTGTTGTTCTATGCTTTCACATCACAGGTAGCCCAAGCTTAGTGTTAGTGTCTATTTTGATAGAGAATGTATGGAAATACACAATAGAGAAGTAATCCATGTTAAAAATTAGGCGCATCACAAAAAAAAACTTTATCATACGTTTGCGGTATAAATCCTCCTTGTCATGATGTCATCCAGGTAGTGATCCACTGTACTTTTAACTACATGCAGTATCCTCTGGCAGACAGTTTGACAAATCAAGTAAAAACAAAACAAAAAGCAACAATACAAGTTTCGATGCCTTTTCTTCTCAAAAGTTGAATGTTTACCGTCGTCAACTTGTTTATAGCTGAGCGCGCGTCAAAAGTCAACTGCCAATGCACTGCGCACGCGCCTTTAAACAGCGCGCGCTTATGATTATTGATATTCTTTCATGGACAAGAGCGCGCATATTCTTTTCACAATCGCAACGTGAGATTTCTGGCCTCATCGAATGTAACACCATGAATAATAAAAGCTTTTATTATCCACTTAGAAGTTTAGAGTGGTTTTCATTAACCCGTGAAACACACTTTAGCRTATTTATCGCTATTACACTGTGGATCTTTTGTTTTTTTGTCTCCACGCGACTATTACCATCTATTACACTCTAATTATTACACTTTGTTTCACGGGTTTATGAAAACCACTCTATTCTGTGAATACTCAGTCTTAGTTTTGAAGTAAAGCAACATGAATCATAATAGTTATGTTTCAGACAGGATATCTTTATATTTTGTACACATGTATAATACAAAATAAATCAAAGAGAATTAACTATATACATTCAAGTGGCTTAATTCTATTGAGTAGAAAAACCTAATTGTTTGACTAATGTAGAGTGAAGTTCTAATTATTAAATTAATTCAATCCATAGTTGAGCGATTTGGCACAAGCAAATGGGAATTTCGTGAGGGTATATAAGCTCGAACAACTTCAAAACATTCAAAGGAATAGCAAAGTTTATAAAATAGTTAAATTTAAATGAGACGGCAAAAAAATTCCGATCAGCTTTGCACCTTATAAATAGTTCTAAATATAACAATGACTGAAACTTGCTTTCCAACCTATATGCAGGCTGCAAAAAATTCTTATATCCTCGCGGTTCTGCTCATTAACATGGAATTTGTTTCTTTTTTGTTATAGGCGCGACTRTAGCTAAACGTTTGAATCAGCGGTGGTCGATCTTTTGCCGAGCAGCACGATTGGCGCTGCCGTACTAAAGTCGCGCTGAATTTAATTGATTCATACGTCGAACTATTAGTGCTAAATTCGAACTATTTCTTTCGGCGCGACGCGGCTCGACGTATGAACCGATCACTTTATAAAAACGATCTATGAAAATTACTCGCGACCCAGGCATCGGCCACTCTCATTAGTTTGGTTGGAACGCTATTGCGAAAGGCAAGCCTAGACGGCCTAAAACCACCTGGCGAAGAAAAGTAGAGATGGGACTGACTTGGGGCRAGGCGTTGAAGTTAGCGAAGAACCGAAAAGAATGGCGTCACCGTGCCGTGGCACTATTTCCCGCTATGGAAGATGTGGATAACTAACTAACAATAGAGTGGTTTTAATTAACCCGTGAAACACACTTTAGCGTATTTATCGCTATTACACTTTGGCTCTTTTGTTTTCTATNGATTGGCGCTGCCGTACTAAAGTCGCGCTGAATTTAATTGATTCATACGTCGAACTATTAGTGCTAAATTCGAACTATTTCTTTCGGCGCGACGCGGCTCGACGTATGAACCGATCACTTTATAAAAACGATCTATGAAAATTACTCGCGACCCAGGCATCGGCCACTCTCATTAGTTTGGTTGGAACGCTATTGCGAAAGGCAAGCCTAGACGGCCTAAAACCACCTGGCGCGCTGGACGAAGACGGTTGTGACTAGTTTTGCTCTACAGTTTTTTGTTGTTTTTCATACTTTCTCGAGTCTACTCTTCCTTTTCAATTATCGCAGGATGCTACTTAAGGTTAGATCTTTCTATTTTCCTTTTTTTTTTACTATTATTATGCATTTCATTGTATTTTTTCTTCTGATTGTGTATTTGTTTTCCGTTATTCCTTGCTGCGACTTCTCAATGCAGGATTTTGGTGTTTATGTGTTAGATTACATGTATATACTCTTATTGATTCCTATTAGCAGGAGTTCTTTATTGTTTTGCTGTTTTACCGTTTTCATTATGCATTATTTGCTTTATTCGCGTTATTTCCTTTATTGTTTATTTACCTTTATTTTACTACCATTTTATATGCTTCATGTTTTATACGTAGTTTTATTTTGTAAGTAGCGCGCGCACAACCGTCAAGTAGGAAGGCGCGCGCGCAAAGTCTATAAATACCCAATCCTACGGTGTAACTAACGTGCTAAAAGGATGAATGGCAGTGGGGTTCAATTCACTGTCACTAACGTGGGCCGTGGCGAGGAAGCCTTCTCATGGAACGTGCACCAACCCATGGGCGATATTGTTACAAGTGCACAGAACATTTCAATATTATATGGACAATAATAATATTCAGTCATCATATCAGCGCAATGGCAAATGTGCGAAGAATGATCCTGAGATTAAGCGAAGTAAATCAAACCGCCGTGGATCCAGAGCCGGCGTTAGAAGAACCATGACAAAGTGTGAGCAGATGGATAAACGTTCAATCCGAATAATATCTTGGAACATTAGAAGCCACACAAAACGAAGAGTTGTAGTGGAACAGCTACTTGTATCAAATAATATAATTGCATTGCAGGAAATCAAAATTAGAAAGAAACCTAGCTATGGTCAGCACAAGCTATGGTCTTTTTTCAAGAATCATCTAATGACGGAAACTGTAAGAGAGGGCTCTTAACAATTGTGAGGAACGGAATAGAATGTTGTCAGGTTAAAACACCAAGCACTATCAATGATGTTGAGACACTTGCAGTATCATTTCGTTATTTGGACAATCAGTACGTTCTTGTGAATATGTACGTGCCTCCAAATGCATTAAAGAATGAGACTGACTGGAACAACGTTCTTGAACCGTTGCTTTCTCTTGGCGATCGAGTCATCATTGCAGGAGATTACAATGCAAGATCTAAACTTTGGTGTGATGCAGACAGCAATAGCAACGGCAAAGCTCTAGATGATGCTTACACTAACCTTRACWGTATCATAATGAATGATTACGGCCCAACTAGAGTAGCTGAAAGACCAGGAGATACAGACTCGTGTATTGATCTCACACTCGTGAGTACTGAATTAGCACCAGAGCTAAGCTGGAAATTGTTGCCTCTGGTTGGCAGTGACCATAGACCAGTGTTATTGAAAATTCGTAAGCCCCGTATCAAACCTAGAGCTGAAAGACGACACTCAGAGTTTTCTTATAATACAAATGCGGATAACATCGTTGGTTWCATTCGAGCATTGAAGACCACCGCAACTGAGAAAGATAGAGAACCTACATCCACATGGGTTAAGAACAATAAAGTTCAGGATGCATGGGAAGCTAAAATACGGGCGAGTAAGGCATATAATAAAGCAAAAAAGCGCAGTTTAGGGTCGAATGTCATTGAAGAAAGGAGACAAGAATACAATCAGGCAGTACGTATTTACGACGAGATTGCTCAAGAGGAGCGCCAAGCAGCATGGGACCGGTTTTGCTCAAGCTGTGACCCCCGGGATAGATCTGTTGTAAGCAAATTTTGGAAGCTGGCAAAGATACTCAAGAACGTTGAGAATGAGGCAAGCCCGTCACCTCAGGAAATCAAGGACAGTGACGGCTGTATATTAAGAACTGATGAAGCAAAAGGAAACGCCTTTCTAAAAAGATAC